AAAGGTTCCTATACATTCACTTAACATCTCCCAAAATCTCTCTCCCCTACATTCCTCTCTTCTCCAGGTGCATACACACTTATTATGACCCACTTTTTGCATCCAACCTTTACTTTAATCCACATAATCCTTGAATTTACACTTTCATATTCTCTTTTCTCCTTCCATAACTGATCCTTCAACATTATTGCTACCCCTTCCTTAGCTCTAACTCTCTCAGATACTCCAGATTTAATCCCAGTTATTTCCCCCCACCAAAAACTCCCCTAGCCCCTTCAGCTTTGTTTCGCTTAGGGCCAGGACATCCAACTTCTTTTCATTCATAACATCAGGAATCATCTGTTTCTTGTCATCCACACTACATCCACGCACATTCAAGCATCCCAGTTTTATAAAGTTTTTCTTCTTCTTTTTTTAGTAAATGTTTACAGGAGAAGGGGATACTAGCCCATTGCTCCCGGCATTTTAGTCGCCTCATACGACACGCATGGCTTACGGAGAAAAGATTCTTCTCCACTTCCCCATGGACAATAGAAGAAATAAAGAAGAACAAGAGCTATTTAGAAAAAGGAGAAAAACCTAGATGTATGTATATATATATATATGCATGTGCGTGTCTGAAGTGTGATCAAAGTGTAAGTAGGAGTAGCAAGATATCCCTGTTACCTAGCATGTTTATGAGACAGAAAAAGACACCAGCAATCCTACTATCATGTACAACAGTTACAGGTATATGTTTCACAGTCATCTGGCAGGACAGTAGTACTTCCCTGGGTGGTTGCTGTCTACCAACCTACTACCTATATGTAAATAGTATTTAGATAAAGGTAGGGAAGTTTTTATTGCATTTATGGATTTAGAAAAGGCATATGATAGTGTGGATAGGGGAGCAATGTGGCAGATATTGCAAGTATATGAAATAGGTGGTAAGTTACTAAATGCTGTAAAGATGTTTTTATGAGGATTAATGAGGCTCAGGTTAGGGTGTGTAGAAGAGAGGGAGACTACTTCCCAGTAAAAGTAGGTCTTAGACAGGGATGTGTAATGTCACCATGGTTGTTTAATATATTTATAGATGGGGTTGTAAAAGAAGTAAATGCTAGGGTATTCAGAAGAGGACTGGGATTAAATTATGGGGAATTAAATACAAAATGGGAACTGACACAGTTGCTTTTTGCTGATGATACTGTACTTATGGGAGATTCTAAAGAAAATTGCAAAGGTTAGTGGATGAGTTTGGGAGCGAGTGTAAAGTTAATAAGTTGAAAGTGAACATAGAAAAGAATAAGGTGATGAGGGTATCAAATGATTTAGATACAGAAAAATTGGATATCACATTGGGGAAGAGGAGTATGGAAGAAGTGAATGTTTTCAGATACTTGGGAGTTGACGTGTCGGCAGATGGATTTATGAAGGATGAGGTTAATCATAGAATTGATGAGGAAAAAAAGGTGAGTGGTGCGTTGAGGTATATGTGGAAACAAAAAAACGTTATCTATGGAGGCAAAGAAGGGAATGTATGAAAGTATAGTAGTACCAACACTTTTATATGGGTGTGAAGCTTGGGTTGTGAATGCAGCAGCGAGCAGGCGGTTGGAAGCAGTGGAGATGTCCTGTCTAAGGGCAATGTGTGGTGTAAATATTATGCAGAAAATTCGGAGTGTGGAAATTAGGAGAAGGTGTGGAGTTAATAAAAGTATTAGTCAGAGGGCTGAAGAGGGGTTGTTGAGGTGGTTTGGTCATTTAGAGAGAATGGATCAAAGTAGAATGACATGGAGAGCATATAAATCTGTAGGGGAAGGAAGGCAGGGTAGGGGTCATCCTCAAAAAGGTTGGAAGGAAGGGGTAAGGGAGGTTTTGTGGGCGAGGGGCTTGGACTTCCAGTAGGCGTGCATGAGCGTGTTCGATAGGAGTGAATGGAGGTGAATGGTATTTGGGACCTTACGATCTGTTGGAGTGTGAGCAGGGTAATATTTAGTGAAGGGATTCAGGGAAACCGGTTATTTTTGTATAGCCGGACTTGAGTCCTGGAAATGGGAAGTACAATGCCTGCACTCTAAAGGAGGGGTTCGGGATATTAGCAGTTTGGAGGGATATGTTGTGTATCTTTATACGTATATGTTTCTAAACTTTTGTGTTCTGAGCACCTCTGCAAAAATAGTGATTATGTGTGAGGTGAAAGTGTTGAATGATGATGAAAGTACTTTCTTTTTGGGGATTTTCTTTCTTTTTGGGTCACCCTGCCTCGGTGGGAGACGGCCGACTTGTTAAAAAAAAAAAAAAAAAATATAAAAACAGATACTGAAACCATTGTAATGTAAACGCCTGTGTTTGGCCATGCCGTCTCGGCACCTATCTACCTAAGTGATGTTTTACTGCCACTTTTTCAGAGTATGTCTGAAGGAACATTCTAAATATAAACAGATAGAGAGTTTTCACATGTTTTAAGATGCTCAGCATTATCTCGATACTGAATGTTCCAAACTCATTTGTTGATGAAGATTTAAAAAAATATATGTAGTGGGCCCTCGGGTAAAGGCGTCACAGGTTAGCACCAAAATCGGATAAAGGCACGCTTTGGTGTAAAAATATTGGCTCGGCTAATGGCAAATAACTCGGTTAAGGGCTTTCATCCTGAACGTGTCTGTGCGGCCTGAGCGGGCCCGGCCACTCCACGACTCCTTATACAGCCAGTGTGCCATTGTTTACAAACCATTGAGGATATTTCCACATGCACATGCAATATATTTTGTATTATTCCATTGTTTTTAGAGCTTGTAACTGCTCAATAAACCATGGGCCCCAAGAAAGCTTCTAGTGCCAACCCTGTGGTAAAAAGGGTGAGAAATACTATTGAATTAAAAAGAGATAATCGCGAAGTACAAGAGTGGAGTGTGTATACTGGAGTTGGAAAGGTTATATAACAAACCCCATTCAACCATCATTACTATCTTAGTCAACAAAAAGGCAATCAAGAAAGCTGTTGTTGTGAAAGGTGCAAGTATGCTTACAAAACAGAGATTGCAAATACTTGAAAATGTAGAGAGACTGTTGTTCGTGTGGATCAACGAGAAAAAATTATCAGGAGATAGTTTCTCAGTAAATAACATGTGAAAAGGCAAGGAGTTGCATGCAGATCTCATTAAGAAAATGCTTCCAAATAGTGCTGCTATTGATGAATTTAAGGACAGCAAAGGCTGGTTTGAGAGATTTAACAATCGTAGTGGCATACACAGTGTGATAAGGCATGGCGAGGTTGCCAGTTTTGACAAAAAATTAGCTGAAAAATATGTGCAGGACTTAAAGGGGTACACAGAGGCTGAAAAATTAAAACCCCAACAACTGTTCAACTGTGACAGAACAGGCCTATTTTGGAAAGAAAATGCCAAACAGGAGGAAAAGGCACTCGCAGGACACAAACCTATGAAAGACAGGCTAACTCTCATGTTTTGTAGTAATGCTAGTGGGGATTGCAAAGTGAAGCCTTTACTTGTGTATCACTGTGAAACTCCCAGAGTGTTCAAGAAAAACAATGTAGTTAAGACTAAATTGTGTGTGATGTGGAGAGAAAACAGTAAGGCATTGGGCACTAGGGGCATTTTCCTTGACTGGTTGCATGACATGTTTGGCCCCACTGTGAAAAAGTACCTCTTGGAAAATAAATTGTCACTCAAGTGCCTCCTGGTAATGGACAATGCTCCTGCTCATCTTCACGACTTGCAAGAGCAAATTGCGGGGGAGTTGAGCTTTATCAAAGTGAAGTTTTTGCCTCCTGATATCACTCCTCTCCTCCAGCCCATGGACCAGCAGGTCATTTCAAACTTCAAAACACCGTACACCAAAGCAGTGTTTCAAAAGTGCTTTGAATTGACACTAAGAGAGTTCTGGAAAGATAACTTCAGTATCCTCAGTTGCATAAACCTTATAGGTAAGGGAGGGAGTGACTTGCAGGACTTTGAACTCTGCTTGGAGAAAATTGTGGCCACAATGTGTACAAGAGGGATTTTGAAAGGTTTGGGGCTAACCCTCAGGACACTATGCCAGTTGTGGAATCTACTGTGGCATTGGGGAAGTTCATGGGGTTGGAGGTTAGTGCTGAGGATGTGGAAGCGTTGGTGGAGGACAACGACGAAGAGCTAACCACTACAGAGCTGCAAGAGCTTCAGGTGCAACAGCAACAGATCGCAGCTCAGGAATTTGCTTCAGAGGAGGAGGAAGAGAGATTGAGGAAGTTGCTTTCGTCAAAGATTAAGGAAATGTGTATAATGTGGACAAAGTTGCAAGCATTTATGGATGAATATTATCCTGAAACAGCTGTTGCAAGCCGTATTAGCAACATGTACAATGACACTCGTGTCCCATTTTAGGGAAATCTTGAAGGGATGTGAGAAACAGAGCTCTCTGGACAGATATTCTGTGTGACAGGGGTCCAGTGACTCAAGCTGGTCATAGTGGCATTAAAAAACCAAGAAGGGAGGTAACCCCAGAAAAGGACTTGTTACCTGAAGTCTTTATGGAAGGGGATTCCCCTTCCAAACAATAGAACACCTTCATTCTCTCCCCTCCTCCCGTCTCATCACTCATCAACAAGTCCACAATAAAGGTAAGTGTCATTTCAGTATTGTTTATTGTGCATGTATCATTGTTTTCTGTGTAGGGAAATGTATATTTCATGTAAAAAAATTATTTTGTTTAATACTTTTGGCTAGCTCTCTGGAATGGATTAAAGGCATTACCCGAGGGTCCACTGTACACACAGAGAAATCTTCATCTCTTCAAACTTAATAGAGTAAAGAATAAGAATTTTACAACAACATGAAAATAACAAACTTCTGTAAGGTCTTTCAAATGTGAGGCTGCTGGTTCGGTCCCCAGTACTCCTCTCACAGTATACTCAGAAACCTATTAAACACTGTCTACAGCAGGAGATTTAATTGGCAGTTAATTTTAGTTATGGGTAGAATAAAACGGTAAATGCTGAGGAAGTGGAGGATGCTGACCTGTTTTGCTGGTCGATATCCTTGAATTTGGTTGGTGAGAGATTTAAAAAGCAGCGCATCTTGGTAAACAGTATGGGATGTTCTAGATCCCCATTCTGTAAAGAAAAGAGTTTTGAGTAATGTTTACTGAAATTCATTTATAATGTGTACAAATCATTATTGATAATTATTTCATTAATTCAAATTTTGTGCTTCCTTTGGCTTAATACATGATGGTCCATCAAAACCTTAATATACAGTAGGGTCCTACTTTATGACGTTTTGCCTTACGGCACTCTGCTAATATGGCGATTTCAAGTTATGACCAAAACTCACTATACGGCAATCTGTCTTTCTAATACAGCATGCGCCACCCGGTTTGTTTACATTTTCCGTGAGCACATCTCTATTATGTCTGGAAACTTTCCAAAATTTCAAGTGTTTTAAAGTTATTGCATATTTTATATGTGTTCTGATAATAATATTTGTGTACCTGTACCTAAATATACTTACATACTGTGCTGGCGTGCAGGTACACATTAAAATCACTAAGAGTGCTGTTCTAGTCTTACGTAATAATAATCACTCTTGGGCACAGTAAATGTCTTATTTTTTGTCAATATAGACATTTTCATTAATCTATGATATTTTCTTCAAAATTATATAACAAACACATTACATAGCATATAAACATGCTATGTTTATATGCTATGATCTACAATCCTGTCAGACACTGCAACTCCTGGAATATAGCTTTTCACAGTAGCTGCCTCAGATTTTACTCTATTTACTACTACTCTTTGTGTTCTATTTGTTAGGAAATTATTACACCATGGTCATACTTGTCAAAGGCTTTTGCAAAGTCTGTGTATACTACATCTGCATTTTGCTTGTCTTCTAGAGCATCCAGGACCTTGTCATAGTGGTCCAGTAGTTGGAACAGATAGGAGCGACCTGCTCAAAACCCCATGTTGCCCTGGGATGTGTAACTGATGGGTATCTAGATGGGTGGCAATCTTGCTTCTTAGAACCCTTTCAAATATCTTTATGATATGGGACGTTAGCACTATCGGTCTGTAGTTCTTTGCTATTGCTTTACTGCCCCCTTTGTGGAGTGGGGCTATGTCTGTTGTTTTTAGCAGCTGTGAGACGACCTCTGTGTCCATGCTCCCTTTCCATAGAATGTTAAAAGCACATGATAGGGGCTTCCGGCAGTTCTTGATGAACACAGAGTTCCACGAGTCTGGGCCTGGGGCAGAGTGCATGGGCATGTCATTTATCGCCTTTTCAAAGTCATTTGGCATCATGATAATATCAGACAGGTTCGAGTCTACCAAATTCTGTCTCTCTAATAAAATATTCATTTAGGTCTTCAATTCTCACTCTGGTTAGCAGCTCACTAAAAACCGAGTCATACTGGGACTCGAGTAGCTCACTCATTTCCTTGCTGTCATCTGTGTAGGATCCGTCTCATTTAACCCTTAAACTGTCCACACGTAGATATACGTTGACGTGCAGCATGCTCCGAACGTAGATCTATGTTTTATTTTTCATTCCTTCAAATTTGGTACAATAGACCTGAGTCGCCTAGACATGAAAGAATGGGTCTGTGCACTCAGTGTGCACACTATGAAAAAAGTCTGGGAGCACTTAGTACCTTCTGGGAGCACCAGTTCAACTGAGCGCCAGCTAGAGCAAATATCATGGCAAACACCAAGGATTCACTGATGTCATGTCATACTAACACTTACATTTTAAGAGGAAAGTAAAAATAGGTTAGATAAATGCATGAGTGGGTGTGGGTGGGTGTGAGTTGGACCTGACTAGCTTGTGCTACCTGAAGTACCTGGAGTTTACCTGGAGAGAGTTCCGGGGGTCAACGCCCCCGCGGCCCGGTCAGTGACCAGGCCTCCTGGTCGATCAGATGTCAGATGTCGTGCTCCTTCTTTCAGTGGATGTGACCTGACTAGGTGGGTCATTGGTCTAAGCCAGGAGGTGACATGGACCTGCTTTGCATGGGCCAGTAGGCCTGCTGCAGTGTTCCTTCTTTATTATGTTCTTATGCATTCGGCTGGCTAGCTGCTGGCTTTGGCTGCTCTATCTGATCTGCTAATT